ATACTCAGCCGATTTCACATATTTGATGCACCCAAAGCGAGAGATACAAAATCTGGCACCAGAAAAAATTGCCAAATTATATTGAAATCAGTTAAGGTTTGGGTATAGCTAACATATATATTTCGGCCGATTTCATACATGTTATGCACCAAACACGATATATATGACCGATTCAAATAAAATTCAGAATGTGTGGCGGAATTTGGTTATAACAATAAATGTGATAAATTAATTGGAAATTAGTTAAGATGTGGATATAGCCGATTTCACATATTTGACGCACCAATTTCAATGAAATATGAAAGGTGTGGCGGAATTTGGTGTAAAAGTAATTTTTTTAAAACTATATTTAAGTCGGATCAGATTGAGATATGATTTTATAAAGAACCATTGACCCACAACGCCTTAGGCTAACAGTAAAATACTACACAACAATTGATTTGAAATACGCTTATTACGGCGAAGTATGTTGCTATCTCGAATTCACTAGTTGCAATAGAAATGCCAATCAACTTCAAAAGATTGCAGTTTACTGCACCCTTGGTATTTGCTATGAAATAAATAAATTTGTTTTTTTTTTTTAACCAACATATATTCGTAAATAAAATTTTGAATGCATATAAAATCAAAAGGGGTAGCGAAGCGCACCTGGTTCAGCTAGTGTATATATACAAAGGATGGGGATGTTAGCTAGAATGCTTATATCTCCAGAATGACTGGACCGATTTTGACAAATTTTGTCAATTAGGAATGCCCCTTTGACAAAAAAGTATAAAATGATGTTTTATAGATTTTGTAATATTTTGTAATATAAATTTATTTTTTCATATTTTTTATCGCATACGATTTTTTCAACTTGACTTATAATATTGAAGTGTATACTTTGTAACATTTTTTCGCCTTTCAACACAGGTTAGTGTTATTATATACAGATTGTAATTATCGTCCGATCCTCACGAAAATTTTCACAAGGGTAGGGTTAGGCTCAGAAAGACTAAGACGATTGTTTCCAAAGACGTCCGCAATATATTTAGGGGTTGAAATGGACCAACAGTAAATAATATTTCCGGTTTTGCAGCCGTTATAAAGGTCAAAAATAGAAACCAAAGGACACGAAATCTTGCATGAAGTTAGAATTTAGGACAACGGGTAGAATGGATCACTACTTTTGTGTAAAAAAAATACCAGCATTACTTACAGACGATATCTAAAATAAACCATAAGCGAACTTCTCGCTTTTTATGCTGATTTTGTTGACGAATTTTGCCAAATATCGTAGATAAGCAAATCATTTAGATGAATCTAAATTTGGAGATACAGAGAGGCGTCTTGGTTTTGGAGATGATCGCAATGATGAGAGATGATCGTTCAAATGAACCAAAAACAGAAAAAATTTCCTGATCACACAATTGAAGCCAATAAACACGCCTGAGAAGATAGCTAGGTACAGGGAAGAATACTGGCATCTTGGATGACCATTGGATTATATTAAGCCGTAAAATGGACCACAACAACTAACAGCACGACTGAGTGCGTAAATATTGGGCAAATGTCCCTGGTCAAAATACTAAGGGTAATATCTGGGTAGTGCTCCGTGACATAATTTCAAAAGCGAAATCTTCCAAATTGATTTGGACATGAGGGGGCTTCTAACATATTTTAGTGTTGTAGGGTATCACATGGTCGGCCCCGCACGCTATAGCCTTTGCTTACTTGTTTTTTTTTTTTTTCAAATTGGTGAGAATCGGTTCAAATTTAGATATAGCTTGCGCACAAAATGGATTGCATTTTGGCAATTCCGACTGAATTAATCATAGAAATAAGCACTTCATTTACTCAATGTCGGTTCAGATATAGCTCCCATATATATGTTTCATCCACAACAATAATCTTTGGTACAAGATGTCAGATACAGCTCAGATATAAGTGTTTAAGAATGGTTCAGATTTCTATATAGTTCCCATATATATCTTTATCCGATATCAGATTTATGGTGCACCAAATGGCCAATATTAGTCCAATAGTCCTGAATTTTGATACATCCGACCGAATTCCGTATAGAAGCAAGCACATCAAAATTGGTGAAAATCGGTTCAGATATAGCTATAGTTGCCATATGTATGTTTCATTCGATTTGGTGTTTAAGTCCCTCACATTAATATGCATTTGACAACAATGATATTGGTATCAGATATCTTATGGAGCTCGGAAATATCTATGCCTAATTTTAGCGATATCGGCTAAAATTTGGATATAGATCCCATATATATCCATAATCCAACTTCAGGTTTACTGTGCAAATAATGGCTAATATCAGCCCAAATGGAGCGAACTTCAGGACGTGGGTTTAAATTTTGGTAGTATGATCTACTTGAAATAAATTCTTTTGTTACGGGAATACTACTAAATATGCGATTTTTGACTATCCTTACTGGTTTGGCCTAAGGTTCAAGCAAGTACAATACACCAAGTTTGAAATATATATCGGGCACCTACATCGCTCAATCTGGGGTTCTAATTTTTTTTTTCGCAAATTTTTGAACTTTTTCCATACGCTCCTATATAAGTTAGCTACAGTGGTACTGTTGGTCTTTCCTTTAACATTTTGCATTGGACACATACATAACATCCTCATTCTGATATGGCCTGAGGATTTTTGGTTAAAGAGAACTAATTAGTTAAAATAGTTTGGTAATATCCGTTCATGGTTTAAATGAAAATTAATTAGTATCAAATCTTTTGCGAATTGTATTTTGAAATGCAAATGTTATTTGCAATCACTTTGATCATCCCGTGCCTTGGGTTATTCTGTTTGTATGTGTTTTATTTAATAACATTATTAGAATAAATGGACATGAACAGTCAATTTACTGAATTCAAGCGTGTTCCACTTTAAACTGCAAATAAAATGTTGTTAAACTTTTCATAAAACCATTAGCTGGGTGAGGTCATTATATGGGAGTCATACCAAAACGAGAACCTATGTAGCCAAATTTATACTTCAGGGATTCTTATCTACAAATCGTCTAAAATACCATATTTAAAAAAATTTCGTGGGTAAAAGTGATCAAGAGTATCAAATACAGAAAAACTTTGACGTATACATACAATGTTCCGCCACCAGAGATAGAACCTATTACGACCTACAAAAAACAAATCCGTGAAAAAAAATGTGGCGAAAATCATCAAAATACCGAATATAGGGAGGTACATACGGTTATATGACGGCTATACCCAAACGTCCTAGACACAATACAAATTGTTGTGCCAAATGTTGAAGCTCTATGTTAAATAATGTGGGCCGACATAGATAAATCGACTTAGAATTTTATTCTGATCATGAATATATGTACAGTATGGGGTCAACGACGAATATTTAGGGATATTGCAAACGGAATGGAAATGTTAATATATCTGCCTTTTCAAGGTGGAGGGTATAATAACATTCTTCACCCATCTCAGACATGTACTAGCTAGGCTGTAGTTTAAACAAGTTAAAAAGAAGTAAGATTGGCCGGACCGAACTTTGAATACCCTCCACCATTTGGAACGAATTCGGAAATTTTCAAAAAATAAAATCCGTTAAAAAATCTGTTTAAATCTTAAAAATACCGAATATAGCCGTTATATTGGGGTATATAGGACGTGGCTCTACGTAGGCTTTGTTTGTCATAAGCCGTTGCCATATTCACATTCGAAACTTGAAATAAACGGTGAATAATGTAGCTAAAATCAACAAAATACCATATATATGGAGGTACCGTTATATCGAAGCTATACGAAGACCTGTACCTGCATAGACAATTTTTTGTCACATGCTGTACCATCCACTCCAAACTTCAAATACGACATCTGATTGTGCCTAAAATCGTCAAAATACCGAATATAGGGAGGTACTGATATATTGGGCCTATACGAAGACCTGGACCTGCATCGACAATTTTCTGTCAAACGCTGTAATATCCATTACGAACTGAAAATACCTAATTTGAAACTACTCCGGTGAATTGTGACACTAAAATCATCAAAATACCGAATATAGAGAGGACCTATATGAAGACGTGAACCTGCGCAAACAATTTTCTGTCATAGACTGTAGCATGGTACAATAAGAAGGTAGAACAGCTTCGAAAAACTACAGAAATACAGCCCTGAGGCTATACCCGCTTCCTGTCAAATTTGAATGCAACAATTTGTTTCCATTCATTTAATATTTTTGCCTCATTTTCAAATTCAGTTAAACAGCGGGGAAAATGAATAAAATGCCTAGATTTTCTTTAAAAAATATGATCTAAACAGTTATATCTTTCAAGTCCATGGCAAAACTGGCGAATACGTATAATGCGCGTCTCGAAATTTACGCGTCTTCCAATCATTGATTTTGAAAATATTCTGTTTTTATTTTTTAAAACAATAAATACATATACAAAATTGGCAGAAGTCGGGCAATCTTAGAAAAAAATTGTAATCACCTTGTAGCTCTACCTTACCTTTTTATTGTACCTTGGGCTGTAGTATCCATTACGAACTTCAAATACCTAACTTGAAACAATACCGGTGAATAATGTCACTAAAATCATCAAAATACCGAATATCGGGAGGTACCGTTATATAGGGGCTATATGAAAAACGTGGACCTACATGGCCCATTAACGAACTTAACCTGCCAACGGGCAAAATAAACATGTGTGCAAAATTTTAAATGGAATGACAAAGTTAATATACCCTCCATAGTAGGGTGGAGGGTATAAAAAGATTCAGGTATTTTCACGACTTCTCTTAGTTTTTTGTCAAGAGCAGGGATATTTAAAATTGCTCCCTTAAACCAAAAACCACTATAGTTTTCTCTGATATATAACAATTTACATAAAATAACTTTTTTTATTTATTTCCGATTTGTATGAAGTATTGCGATTAAATTAAAAAAATAATATAGACATATACGATTTAGAATTATTATAAAACTTAGATAAAATATTAATATTTTGATCAACTTTCAGTTTTACTTCGCGCTCTCAATGCTGACATCGCTGCCAATGGCCATGAACTCGGCACTCAACCCATGGAACCGGATTATGCTGATACCGTGTACAATGAACTTGAATATGCCAGCAAATATGATATGATGCAAAAACTGCAACAGGATATACAGGAGGAGCAAGATATTGTTAGTAAATCGGCAGTGTTGATGAAACTTCTGGAAGTAAGAATGTCTTCCAATTGAATTTCGATTAAAATTGTAATAACCTGTTTTTTTCATATTTCTCAATCGACAGGATCCCACAATTGAAACACTACCAATTGTCTATGTGGAAGAGGATGGTTCACTGGATGATAACAACAATGATAACAGTCTCGACTATCAAACGAATACAAATGGCATGACGAAACGGTCTCGTTACTACAGACGCTATCCTTGGAAACGCCATAATAGAAATCGCAGGTACTGCTACTATAGACTTAGTTTGTAATTAATGTAAGAAGATGTTTTAAACACAAATCGTGGGGGGTGGTTAAACGTTTGATGAATGCTTTCAACTAAAATAGGGCACTTCCCCCCAAAATGTTCATGGTCTCGTGGGTCCGATCAAAAACAAAGATTACCCTTTTGAAAGATGAAATGAAAAATAGTCGTTTCAGATATACAGGGCCCGAAATCAATTTTTATATACCCTCCACCATACATAGTATGGAGAGTATATTAACTTCGTCATTCGATTTGTGACTCATCGAAATAATAATTTTAGACTGACTTTAGAGTCAAAAAGGAATTAAGGTGGGAAGCTAAAATTTTGCGCAGATCATTTTTTTGTCTGCAGGCAGGACAAGTTCGAAGATGGGCTGTATCGGTCCATGATATCGTCCCCATACAACGGTACCCCCCGGTATTTTTATAGATTTAGCCACATTTTTCAGTGGAATTATCTGAACCTCTACCCAAGGAGTTTTTTATGAGTATTTAACCCCGGGCCGATGTTTGTCTATGTAGGTCAACGATATCATATCTGAATTCAATACAATTCATTTGCAAGGAATTTGGAAATTAAAAGAAATAACGCTAAAAGCTACTATTAAAAATCATAACAAGTATAACATATAACAAGATATAACATAAAGTTCGGCCGGGTCGAACTTTTAATACCCTCCATTATTGGGTAAAACGTTTTTATATAAAAGTATCTGAATTCAAACGTGTTCTACTTTAAACTACAAATACCAGAAAGACCGTTTGGATAATGCTGTCAAGCTTTTCAAATAAACATAAAGTGGGTGAGACCGTTGTATGGGGGCCATACCAAAACCGAAACCTATAGAGACAATTTTATACTACAAGGATTGTTATTTATTGCGGGTCTTAAATACAAAATTTGAAACAATTTCATGGGCAAATGTGACTAGGATTTTCAAAATACCGAATATTGGTGGGTACCCTTGTATATGCGCTATAGGAAAACGTGTACCTAAATGAACAATGTTCCGCCACCGGATCTAGAATCCATTATGAACTATAAATATCAATTTTTAGACAAATCCATGGAAATATGTGGCAAAAATCATCAAAATACTGAATATCCGGAGGTATCATTATGCGGGGGCTATACGAAAACGTGGACATATATGTACTATGTTCCGCAACCGGAGCTAGAACTCATTCCGAATTGCAAGTAACAATTATATATATGGGGACTATACATAAACGTGGAACTATACATACAATATTTCGCCACCGGAGCTAGAACCCATTATGACCTACAAATACCAATTTTTAGACAAATTCGTGAATAAATATAGCGAAAATCATCAAAATACCGAGTATCGGGAGGTAGCGTTATATGGGGGGCTATACCAAAATTGGGCCAATATATCTCAATTTAAATACCAAACATCCTAGACACAATACAAATTGTTGTGCCAAATTTTGAAGCTCTACGTTTAATAATGGGGACTGTATAGTTATTTCAACAGACAGACGGACAGTCAGACAGAGGGACATCGTTAAATTGGATTAGCATTTTATGCTGATCATGAATATATATACTTTATGGAGTCTACGACGAATATTTAGGGATGTTACAAACTGAATGACGAAATTTATATTCCCTCCTTTTCAAGGTGGAGGCTATAAATATATATATTCGAGCAATAGGTATACCGGACCGAGTTTCACCAAACGGTAAAATTCTGTTGAGTATGAAAAAGTCTATCCAATTTGGGTTGATATTACACATGTGGTGGACAATACCCGTAAAATCGGATTCTTATGTATATCGAAGGTATATAAAAATCTGAACTTATTTAGTTTATTCGGAATGATATTTGCCATTTGGTGCACAAAAATCCTTGAAATCGGATAAAGATACATATGGGAGCTATATCCAAAACTGATCCGATCTTGACAAAATTTTAGGCACTTATTTCTGAGCTGTATCTGATATCTGGTACAAAAAATGTAGAATGCATATTGCGCATGTAAGGGACTTAAAAACCCATGTCGTATGAAACATATATATGGGAGCTATATCTATATCTGAATCTATCTATATATCAATATCTAGCTATATCTATATCTAGGTATATCAATACCTATCTTCGCCAAATTTGATGTTCTTCTTTTCAGACTGGATTCGGTCAGATGGTCCAAAAAGTAGGCCATTTGGACCGATGTTGTCCATTTTTTGCACAATTTCAATAGGGTTCGTCCTTTATCCAAACAAATATTGTTTGAAAAATTTCATCTCAATCGGAATATAAGATCACACATATGCATTTTGTTCACAAAATATATGGACAGACGGACGGACAGACGGACGGACAGACGGACGGACAGACGGACTGACATGCATAAATCGACACAGAAAGTGATTCTTTAAAAATCCTATGGGTCTAACTATGGTCCTTCTCCATCTTACAATCAAATACACAAAGACCTAATACTCTTACCACTATAGAAAAATTTAATGTTGCAAATAAAGTTAATTCTGACAATGATTCTGACTCAAATTCATAGTTATTCAGTTGTTTTTGATTAATCTTACGGAGATCTTCCGAAGATCTCTCTAATATAATGCTAATGTTTTTATCGATCTTGTAGATCTCTTCTTAAACGCCTAAGCTGGAGAGTTTCATTTAGCATATGATGGTTGGACCTCCTTTGTAGACCGAGTAGTCCCTTCCTATAAAACCAAGTAACGATTGAGCAGAATCTTCAATACACACACTGCACTTTTTGTTTCAACTTCATTCAGCCATTTCAAGAATCTGCCATTGAGAATCAGCCCAGTACCAACGCTGTGGATGACTCACCATAAACTACCTTCTCGGTATATCTGTTATAAATAGTTATCGTAAACGCATATCAACTTTCTTCGATCAATTTTCTAACTTTCAATGCAATTTCTCTGACTCTGGGATGAATAACGTGGAACCACCGATGTGTATTACCCATTATTTGCTAATTTCACTGCCTCTTCGGGAAATTTTAGCATTACTTCTTCTGCATGATGATTAGAAATTCTTTTTCGCTACCAAACATTAGAGGGACTGTTCCCAAATATGACAAAGAGTGATCTCTCTGACTTTAAGTCAATAAGAATCTTATTCTGTTTATAATGGTAGTTTAATTATTTCCAACAAAAATCGCTTCATTTATTGTTACAATGAGAGTGTGGTGTAGTTCGGCTCAACCGTACTTATCTTAGTCCATTTAAAGTGATATTTTTGAATAAAAATCTTAATAGGTGATTTCTTATGAGTTTTTACCAAGGATCCCGTTTGCAGTCCGATATTTTTTTCGTCTGATATTTTGTCCGGTAAAAGGTTCCTTAAATTATTACGCTTCACTGTTTGGCCAATAATGAATGTTTGTTGTTTGTGTTTCATTTCAGATCGATTTAAAAAAAATAGTCAAGCCCATATTGGGCTCTGTTTAAGACCCTAAGTATTAAGCCGTATAGAATAGTCGATATTCGACTAGTCCGACCAGGTGGTAACTGGATTTTTCTGATTTTCCAAGAAAATAAGTCCAAATTGACTTGCTTGTAAAAGAAATATTTTGAATCTTAGATTCTGGATAGAAAACATAAACTTCAGTAAATTAGACTCCGAATTATAATTTTATTATGTGTGCTGTTTTTAAATCTTGCATACATTTAATCCAATTCAAACGTTTTATAATTTTTCCATTCCAGCACCTACGAACCGGAATTACGTTACGCTTGCACCCCCACCAAGGAGGATGTCTTCAAGCTGTTGGTAAATCTGCACGAGAATCGCAATGGCAAAAATGGCAAGACCATCAACTTCTGTAATCGCAAACGTCCGGCCAAGGCAATTTTCACCAACATCCGATTTTTGGGTTAAATTGTGGAATAAGTACTGGTAGCGAAAAACAAGCAACAGAAAACGATGAGATTGAAAGCAAAGTGAATCAAATTAAGTGAAAAATTTAAATCAATTATTACAGACAGCCAACAAACATATTTAACATATTTATAAAGAAACCACGTTAACACAAGGAAGAGAGAGAGAGAGTGAGAGGGAGCGTGAGAGTGGAAGAATATAAATCGCATATACATATTATACCAATAATAGTGGTAAATATATCATATCTATATAATATATAATTAAAAATAATAAACAAGAGATCCTTAAAAAAGTCCTATGTGCAGCTAATACAAGAAATGTGTTAATTGTAAATTTAATAGACTTATATTTATAAAAATTGCATTATATGTGGTTACTTGATGTGAAATTGGGCAAATTACGAGCATAAAATTAATTTTCAAATTTTTAGTTTTTGTGTACTGATATTTGAGAGTAGTTCATTTATGAGCAAAGAGCAAAGAGGAAGGGGGATAATGGGCCACCGATAATAGACCCACCCTTTCTGGAACCTCTCCCACAAAACTCCAAGTTTTCAAAATTAATTACAAAAAAAAAAAAAACAACAACAATTAATAATGGCAATATTAGTATTTTCTCGAAGGATCTGAAAATAAACATCCCCTAGCTATTTTTATTTTGGAGACATATTCCCAGAGATATGGGTATTTTTAAATCAGAAGTTGGAAAGCTTAAGAGAAACATTTCTAAATTTTCTCACTTATGACCTAAAGTAAATTCTTAATTCATCAATTTTTTTGTCGACTTCCTGTGATTATGTGATTTTTTAGCCTTTCAACAATATGATTTTATTTCCCTGCTATTTTGTATTTCCCTGCTATCTTTATATCTCAAACCTTCAAGATATATGCTGTAGATTCTATTAAAAATTGTAAGAGAAATACAAGGCAAAGGAGTTGGGAATAATATACAATTTTATAACATGGCACTGAGGTTAGTGTCCATCAAAACCCCAATATCCTATGTATTTCCCTGATATACAAAAATTAGGGAAGGTATTTTTCCATTTCAAAGATTTTACATCAGATATCCCAAAAATGCAATTTGAAAAATTGTAAATAAAAAAAATATTTATCAATATTTAACTAAAAACAATTATAGAGGTATAATCCGCATCATCAGGAAAACACCTGAAAACCTATAAAATCCACCCAAGAATACAATCTTCCAAATAAAAATCAAACTTAAAAATACACACACAATTCCTAATAATATTTGTCTTCTTAATGTTTGCATTCCAAAAATAATATCACAGTAAAAAAAATAAATCAATTAGTCTATACCACACCAAAAAATAAATAAATAAAATAAAAAAGTAAAACAAAGAACACTACTAGATTCCCCTTGTGTATGCACTAAAAGTCATATCAATTAAATTTAATTTTAATTTTTAAATGTTATGAGAAATTGTTGCAAACAAATACATTAATAAATATGTAACTTTTGATCGCTCTTAGAATAGTAATAATAATAATATTGGCCCCTGAAATAAACTATATAGTTGCATTTGTATTAAAATAATTTAAATGTTTTATTATTTCATTTATGAAGGCATATTGTGTACATACAAGTATAATTATTCCATATTTATATTTTATTAACAAAAAATGTTTTCAATTAAAGAATATATATATTATTAAAATTTACATACATACATATATATACAAGAATTATACAGAGAATAAAAATATATATATACACAGCCATACACATATATGTAAATCATTCTATGTATGAAAATTATATAAATAAAATATGTGAAAAAAACATTAATTAATGTCATTGCTCATGTATGCGTTTAGAGAATATAAAGTGTAACATTGTAAATTGTAGGTTTACACAAATCCATCATACAAAAATACATAAATAAAAAAAGAGATCTCGATCTCGAATAAAATAAAAAAAAACATGTTTCGTTTAAAATCATTCAACGAAAAAAGGCGGAATCAGTCGGCCAAATAATTGAAAATACTAAAGATCGGGAGGTAAAGTGAATGCCAAAAGTGGGCCGATACCAATCAATCTGGACACAATACAAACTATTGTTCCGAATTTTAGAGCTCTACATAAAGCAGATATAAATTGATTTTTCCACAATTGAGCAAACAAATCCGAAATTCATACAGAGTTTTTTATGTCCGCATTACGTGTAAATAATTCTATGGAAAAACATGTTTAATCTATCTTCAAATTTTGTAAAAAACAAGTAAAAAAGTTGTAAGTTCGGCCGGGCCGAACTTTGGTACAAATTGAGCAATTTTCAAAAAAAAAAAAAAAAAAAAAAACTCGTTAAAAATTGTGTTAAAATCTTAAAAATACCGAATTTATCTGTATATTAGGGTCTTAACGACGACGTGGACTTGCATAGGCAACTTTTGTCATAAGCTATTAAAATGCGAAACTTGAAAAAAAAATCTGTGTATAATGTAGCTAAAATCATTAAAATACCGAATATAGGGAGGTACCATGGGGGTTATAAAACGTGCACCTGCACAGACAATTTTTTGCCACTTCAAATGCGAAATTTGACCAAATTCCAGTAAATAATGTCGCTAAAATAATCAAAATACCGAATATCAGAGGGTACCGTTATATTGGGGCTTTACGAAGACGTGGACCTGCACAGACAATTTTCTGTCTTCGGCTGTAGGATCTATTATGAACTTCAAATACCAAATTTGAAATAATTCTAGTAAATAATGTCGCTAAAATCATCAAAATACCGAATATCAGGAGTTACCGTTATATTGGGTCTATACGAAGACGTGGACCTAGATTTCAATACCAAAACTCCTGCGGACATAATACACATTTGAGTACATTTTTATCAACTTACTTCATTTCGTTCGGAAGCTTGAGCGATTTCCACAGACAGACGGACGGACATTGCTAATTCGACATAGAATTTTATGCTGATCAAGAATATATACATACTTACTCCATGCTATGTTGGAGGGTATAAAAATCTGCATGTAATTGCTTGCACTGTTGAAATAAATAAACCTGATATCGGATAAATATATATTTGGGAGCTGTCTCCAAAAATATATTTATCCGATATCAGGTTTATTGTGCACCAAATGGACTGAAATTTGGCAATTCTGACGGAATTAAGTCTAAAAGCAAGTACTTAACATTTTGTTGAAAATCGGTTCAGATATACCTATAGCTTCCATATATATGTCTCATCCGATTTAAAGTCCCTCACATTCGTAATGTGTACTCCACAACAATGATATTTAATACCGAACATCAGATACTTTTCGATAATACCTCTGCTAAGTTTTATCGAGTTCGGTTCAGATTTTTTATGCATTCGATATACATCTTCATACGTTTGTACGGTTATTGTCCACCATATATGCAATATCAGCCCAAATTCGATAGATTTTTTCATATTCAATCGAATTTTTCCATTTAGTGAAATTCGGTCCGGTATATCTATTGCTCCAATAAATATTTTTTTAATATAATTCTCATCGAAGTCATATCATACACTTTACCGCAATGTTATTTGTTACTAGAGGTGCAAAACCTCCATCAAATTATGTGAAAATGGATTCAGTGTTGAGTATTGTTCCCAATTTGTGACTACTCTAAAGCCATGACACGCAATCAAAAAAGGTTCATAGTTGGTATGATCTACTTTACATAAATTTCCAATATAAACTTTCTTTGTTACGGGAGCTCTATTAAATACGTATAGTGGTGTAGGGTATCATATAGTCGGTCCCGCCCGAATTTTGACCTTTCCTTACTGGTTTGTTCTAAATTTGTTCAAAAGATATTTAAGGTCTAAAACCGATATTTCGATTAGGCACGATTTAGCCGATATACCATTTTCATTGGCAAAATTTTCCACGATTTTCATAGATCTTATAATTTTGTGCCAATAGGCCATTCCGAATTATTAATTCGTCCCGCCATTTTTTGGTTATAAATCAAGCGTAGAAACTAACATCGTTTCCTTTATATACAGATTTTACCTACTTTGCTATACATCCTATATCTTTGCTATTAGAATCGATTCTGACTCTTACAGAAGTGACATTTTGTGTATTTGAATTTTCACCTGGATTAAAAAAATTCAAGTTAAATGGATATTTTGGTATTTTTCACACAAAATTTATGGTCGATTTTACCTTCTTAATGTTATCCGATGACTGTCCAAATTGGCCATCCAAATTATACCCCATGCAAAATTCAACATCTATCAGTCTATAGTTGTGACCAGCAGAGCAACTGCAAAATCAGGAAATATTTCTGTTTGTGACCCATTTCAACCCCTTAATATTTTGCTCTCATGTTGTTGTTGTTGCAAAAACAATAAGCTTCTTTAAGACCCTAACACCACCTCCATGTAATCCTACATTTAGTGGGGATCGGGCTATAATTGCGACCTGTAGAGTGATTACAAGTTAACATGGACAGGCGGACGGACAAATACACATAGCCAGATCGAGATCGAAATAAGAAGATCAATAAATAGCATTATGGGCCTGGGATCTATATTTTGATGCAAACATTTTTTTTTTTTTCATTTGAAAGGTGAAGAGAAACAATTAAAAAAGCAGCTAAGTTCGTCCGGGCCGAGCTTTTAATATCCTCCACCAATTTGAAGAATTTTGAAAATTTTCCATAAAAAAGTCCATAGAGAATTTTCCGTCAAGGGTAGTACCATTACGAGCTTCAAACACGAAATTTGAAAAAAAAAAAAAAAAACCCGGTGAATAATGTTCTTAAAATCATCAAAATACTGAATATCAGGAGGTATCGTTACATGGGAGCTATACGAAGAAGTGGAGATGTCATAAGCTGTAGTACCCATTGCAAACTTCAAATACCGAATTTGAAATCATCCAAAAAGCAAATATCGGGAGGTACCGTTATGGGGGCTATACCAAATGGTGGACCTATACATGCGATGTTTCGCCACCCATTATGGCCAACAAATACCAATTTTTAGACAAATCCGTTAAAAAATGTGGCAAAAATAATCAAAAATACCGAATATCGGGAGTTACCTTTATATGGGGGCTATACCAAAGCGTGGACCTATACATACTATGACCACGGGAACTAGGACCCATTATAACCTACAAATAAAAAATTTTAGACAAATCCATGAAAAAATATGGCCAAAATCATCAAAATACCGAATATCTGGAGGTACCGTTATATGGGGACTATACCAAAACGGGAACCGATACATCTCATTTTTAATACCAACCATCCTAGACACAATACAAATTGCTCTGCTAAATTTTGGCGATCTATGTCAAATAATGTGGGCTGTATCGTGATTGACAGACGGACATACAAATAGACATCGTTAAATCGACTTAGAATCTACAACGAATATTTAGTGATGTTACAAACGGAATGACAAAGTTTATATACAATCCTTTCAAAGGTGGAGGGTATAAACATTGTTTTTAATGACTTTCGAAAATGAGCAGCGCGGTTGGCTAATTAAATTATATGATAACATGCTGTAATGTAACGAAAACAGAGATTGTCAATATTGTCCTTGTTGGGTGTCATCTGCACTAAAATTTGTGCTTACTAAACAAACCTCAAGTATAAAGCCAATGTCTTGAATTTACGCTTTTGTAATAGGTTAATACGCAAGGATGACATCTTTGTAATATTTTCGGTACACCTACGATAAAGCTTTCCATATTTTTGTTGTAAAATAGCTTTATGTGTGGTGGCGGCGCAAACTAAGAGGAGTGTTGTTAAAGCTTCTTCCAGGTGGCGCTATAGAACATTTCACCATTGGGACACAAGTTATTACAAGTTGCACACTTGATGACATTACTAATGTTTATACAGTTTTGGTAATAAATGAAGATTAAGCAATAATGGAATTAAGCCTAACCATTTTGCAACAACAAAATAATAAAATGTATACCGTACAAACAAGCCAACACTGTTCAAATAAATTAAGTATGAAAAAATAGTTTTCTTTTCGTAGCAGCGACGCAATGGCTATTAAAATAGAAGCTAGTAAATCAACGCTGTACAAATAAGTTCAAGAAGAATAAATGTAAGTAAATGTGTCAAATAAAATGAGTCGTAACGGAAAGATTTCTTAAAATATTATCCAAGAACTCCAAATCGATATGTGATGATGGCATGTAGACTAACTTCAGACTTAAGTCTACGGATCTCTATTAGGATTATTATTTTCATGCCCTCCTCACACTATTTAGAGTATATAAGTTTTGTAAATCCGTTTGTAACTCCTCGAAATATTCATTGAAGGTCCCAACAAATATTTATATTCTTGATCAGCTTTTGCGATTTAGCCATGTTCGTCAATTATACTATGAACCCTCCTCCTCGGTCAAATTGTATACCACGGGCTATATCGCAAAATATATCAATATTTTTCTTAGCTATTCATCATCTAATTTATAAAGCTTGCATTGTATTAGCATTACACATAATCTATGAAAAGATGTAACTGTGGAATGTGGCACCGAAATCAAGTCACTTATTAAAGTTTCTGCCTCCCTGTTGAGTACAATGGGAAAATACTGGATCGGAAAGGAAGAACGAAATATGTATTTCTATTATCTATACATAAAAGTAATGAAGTAACTGACTTACTGACTGAGAATCAACAGATTCTATCTAGAATCTTAAAATTATGCACAAGGGCCAGTCTTGGTGCATAGGCATGTGGTAAAGCTTTTAATACCCTACAGTACAAATTTCGATTTCGGGGTAATTGTGCAGCAAATGGTCAATATCAGTCAAACCACCGGAGTTTTTTCATATCTGACCGAATTCAGTCTAGAATTAAGTACATCAAATCGGTTAAGAATAGCTATA